ACTGTTCACGTTCAGGAATATTTCAATATGGCAGTTTGTTACAAGTGTTGTGGTTTTGAACACGTCGCGAAATACTGCTCAGAAAAGGAGTGCTGCTACAAGTGTAGTGATAAACATAATTAATTATAAATATAAAAAGTAGCGACTGTGAAGAACATAATTATAAATGTTGTAACTATAGTAAACTCAAATTGGATGACATGAATCACTCACCAAGAGATCCAAATTGCCCAGTGTTTAAAAGAAAATTAGCAACACATAAGAATAGCATAAACTATAATGATTTTTTATAGAAAATTCTGATCCTTTGCATATAAATTCACTACCTATAACCAACACACATATGGAAGCTTCTGCATCAAAGTTGAAGATGAAAAATGAATATAGCCTTATCCATCAAAATGTTCAGTCACTAGGAAATTTCATAGATGCAGTAAATGATCTATTGAAAAACCATCCAACTTGTAAAATCATATGCGTTACTGAACAATGGAAGACTTATGACCAATTAAATTGTTTAACCCTGAACAAGTTTTTACTAGGAAGTTCCTTTTGTCGTGAGTACAATGAGCATGGAGGTAGTGCGATATATGTTCATAAATCCATTGAATTTAAGGCAAGACAAAAACTCTCAAATCTATCAGTGAAAAATGTGTTCAAGTGCTCAGTGGTTGAATGTAAAATTGACAGGACACAGCATTTAGTGTTCTCGATCTATAGACCTCCCCCCAGGGAAGTATTAAAACATTTCTCAATTGTATGGAAAATGTATTATCACAAATTTTTAATGAAAACAAAAAAATTGTCATTGCTGGTGACTTCAATATTGAAATGTTAGAGCAAAACCACGACCGCACGAATCTAATTTCATTGTTATCCTCTTATTAGATAACTCCCACTATTTTTAAAAACACCAGAATAACAGTAAATAGCTCTATACCATTTCCAGCATTATTTCACACTAGTGAAATTTGATTTCAAATTAATGAAAACTAAATTCACATCAGTGAAATCTAATTTCGCTCAAATGAAAATTGATTTCAAAGTAACGAAAACTAATTTCTCACTAACGAAATTTGATTTCACATTTTTGAAAATGAATTTCAAACTGACCCTAATTAATACTTATTTTTCAAACATTTATTATTTCAGCCTAATGAAATAAACGCACTGAGTTTAGGAAACTGTTGTTTAGATAACATAAAATACAATCATGAAATAAGTACCTATGAATTATTTAAATAAATTAAACTTCAGTTTGGCAAATCACGTGGAAAGGTATAATGCAGCTATCTCAAGAGTGAGAAGATTCAACTGAAGTTCAATTTATTTAAATAATTTATAATTATTATTGTTAATTGCTCCATGATTGTATTTTTTCTAAGGGAAGTTTGTGTCCTATCGGTATCCAATGAAGGGGGTGATTTGTCGCTTAGGACAAAAAAAATATTAAAAAATTTGCCTTTTTACAATTTTATCAATGTATTGTGATTTGGTTATGTGCACTTGAATGTTCCATCCTAAAAAATCTCGCACTATTTTATATAATCTAGCCACATAATTTTTTAAGTACAAGGCATGTAAACTTCAGTTTTTTGTTAGCACTTTTTTGATGTTCCTAATATATATTTAGGCCCTGATGAAGCCCTAAACTTTTGGGCAAAACGTTGGCAAAGACTTAACAGGCCTTTTAAGTTTTATATGTCCTAACCGACGAATCACCCCTTTCATTGTATTTTACGTTATGTGAACTCAGTGGGTTTATTTCATTACGGTGAAATAAATAAGATTTCTTGATGTTTTTTTCAAACTAAAATAATAAATGTTTGAAAAATGAGTATTAATTAGGGTCAGTTTGAAATTCATTTTCACAAATGTGAAATCAAATTTCGTTTGTGAGAAATTAGTTTTCGTTACTTTGAAATCAATTTTCTTTTGAGCGAAATTAGATTTCACTGATGTGAATTTAGTTTTCATTAATTTGAAATCAAATTTCACTAGTGTGAAATAATTCTGGAAATGGTATAGTTGTATACAATCAATGTTTTTAAGACCAGTGTCACCTAGTGAAATTTGTGAAGTAGGAAACAAAATAAAAAATAAACATATGCCATACATTAAAAATGTATTAACATATTCAATTAACAATAGCCTCAAATTTGGATTATTTCCAGACAAATTGAAACTAGCTCTAATAAAACCAATTTACAAGAAAGGTGACCCAGAAGTAATTGACAATTATAGACCAATTAGTTTACTGTCTGGATTTTCAAAAAATTTTGAATTGGTAATGTGTAATAGAATAATGAGCTTTTTTAATAAATGCAACCTGTTTAGGCAGCACCAACATGGTTATACCTCTGGCAAATCCACTGAAACGGCTCAATTTACTCAAGAAATTCTAAAACATACTGAACAAAATGGATTATCACTAGGCATTTTTTTGGATTTGTCAAAGGCGTATGATTGCATTGATCGGAATCTTCTACTTAAAAAATAGATTCGTATGGAATTAGAGGACATGCACTTGAATTGTTCAAATCGTATTTGATGAATAGAAAACAAATAATAAAAGTAACACAAGATGGAAACTCATATTTCTCAGGCATAAAGGAAAGTTCGCATGGAATTGCACAAGGCAGTATCTTGGGATCAGTACTGCTTAAAATATACCTAAATCTATTCCATTGCAGATTTGAACAAAGAAAGTATTGTATGTTATGCAGACGATACAAACCTACTTGTAGGGGGGAAAGATGTTAATGATTTTTTTAACAATGCTAACATGTTATTTAGGAAAACTGACAGCTGGTTTAAACAGAGTAAGTTGATACTAAACAATGAAAAATCAAATGCTATTATGTTTAGAACAAAGCAGTCCAACCTAAATAAACCAGCCACCGCAGAATGTAGTGATAGGGTTGTAAATATTGTGGATAGTGTTAAGTTTCTGGGAGTAAATATTGATGAATTTATGGATTGGGCAGGGCATATAAACACACTATTGAAAATACTAAATTCTGTATCTTACGGAATCAGAGTTGTGAGTAGATATATGGACTAAAAAACTGATAAAATAATGTATCACGCAAACTTTCTATCGGTCCTTAAGTATGGAATTATTTTTTGGGGAGGGAATGGTGACATTCAAAAGATTTTTGTAGTTCAAAAGCGTCTTCTCAGAACTATATGAAGAATATGCAATTTAGGGATAGCTGCCGAGGAGTATTAAAGAACGAAGGTTTGATGACAGTACATTAAATGTGAGTTACCCAATCCACAGATTTACTGAGAAGAGCCCCTATTATATGTGTCCGAGATTTTTCAATAAGTTACCAAACAATATAAAGTTTAAATCAGTTTTAAACCTTTCAAACTTAAAATTAAGGCACTCATTATTAATTTGGAACCCTATTCAGTCGGGGATTTCTTGGATGGTAATATTGATAGGTGATGGGGATAATATCAAATAGGTTTTGTATATCTATGAAATACATACTATTATTTGTATTCATAGCCAGTGTAATCTATGACACTAATTTTTTATTTTTGTTTTGATAGAATAACAGCCATAGTTATGTGAGGCCTTCCAGTCTCTTACTTTAGTGTAAAAATTCTGAAATAAGTTTTTCATTTTTGCCGATGATTTTATCATAATCTGTTGGATTGGCGCAACTTTTAAAATGCATGTCATTTCAGTTATTATGCTCATTACAGTTAAAAATTCACCATGTCAATGTAGGTAATAGGCAATAAACAAATTATTAATAAAATCTGATTACCACAAAATGACACAAAACCAACTAACATACAAAACATTTTAAAATGCAAACTCAAATTTAAGTTATTATAATTTTTAATTTTGGCACTATTGTTTCCAAAATTACAAAGAATTTTGGGACCAATATGTTCTAATCCCTTTAACAGACTGTACAAACTTTCGTTGCAGGATTAAAAGATTCATTCACTTCAGTCTTCCAGTATAAGTATATTATTAAAACATTCAAATTCAAATTCAAAAGCATTTATTTGCCAACAACCTAAATATAATAACATAAACTGAATACTTAGATAATTTCATGACAAAGAGGACATCTTCTCGATTATAAAAACCGCTTACATATTGCACCATGGTGCCTATGCGAAGCTGCCCTGTCATTAATTATTATAAAAACTCTTTCCGTTAATATTGAATTTCATGTCGACATAAATGAAATCTTCATTAGCTAGTAATGTGATATGCAAAAAAAAAAGAATTACTTAAGGAAACACTTTCATTTTACACGTCCAATAAAAAACAATTTTCACTATATGACTGAATAATAAAAAAAGTTCATACAGGTAAGTAATGTCAACTTCCTATGTTTACTTACTTATCATTAAAAGCGGAGCCAGGATATAATAATGAATAGCCTCGGATAACTTTCTCTAAACGAGAATTTAGCATAACGTTTTCCTTCCTGTTATTTAACAGCTTGAATGGATTAAGTAAGACCTTTCGCTGATGCAATTTATGCAACACACATGATCGAGCAAGGAGAATTAATTAATGTCTCGCTATTATATTGCTCAAGTTATTGCTTAGTGTTTTAGTAAAACTAAAAGTTTTATTTAACTCTACTTGTCCTTCGACTTTTTATATCGATTTTTTTCCAGGATTTATGATTTAAATTTTTCAACATCAACCATCTGCTCCACTGTTAATCGCCATACCTTCCATTTATTTCAAATTAAATTTTCTTTCACTGCAGAATTTTATTACCATTTATTATTTTATACCATTTTGTAAATAATAAATTATTAAAGCTGGCAAAGAAGTATTCCTCCATAAAAGGCAATGGCCACTTGGCAACGACATTTTTGATGTTTTATATCATATATCTTTTTACATCATTGCATGGATGAAAGTTTTGATAACAGATAGAATTTTTTTTATGTTTGAAGGTATTGGCAATACTTACTACACTAACAAAAATATGATGATAAAATGTATTGCTTACATGCTGCATTACTTCGTCGGCCCACAGGGATATCTCCAGTTGCGTTACAGCTATGCCAATTGAAAGTTTTCATGTCCAAGTACCAAACTTGGTTGCAGTACGACTCTAACGGTCTGTTATCTAGAGATAGCATTGCTCCTCGGCCTCCAAACAAATAAATTTTGTCTTTTATGCATACTGTTGTGTGGAAGTCTCTGAGTGTTGGCTCATATCCTAGAAGAAAAACCAAAAATAAAAATGAGGACATCAGATATACTTATTTTAATATACAATATTGAGGGAGAAATCGCCTGGAAAGTTACTAAATACACCCAAGAAGGTAGAGGAAGTAATGAAAGTTTGTGGGAATCCAGAGAAGTATCAGAAAGTTTAAATGGTAAGAGGTATTTCTGGATAATTTGAAAACTTAAACATTTTTCCTTTGACAGAGACAGAGTTCAGTTAAATTTAAAATTTAATTTATCTGTTCGCATACGAATAAATAGAAGTTGCTTGATAAGTATACTTGATTCGACTGCAAAATGGTTCTGTTTCAGAAACGACAATTTTACAAACAGTATAGTTTTTATTGATCATGTAAGCTGGAGATCATATTCCTAAAAAACTTCAATAGGGCGTTCAGATTTTTGAATTTGACTTTCGAGGATCAATGAAACTGAATTATGATTTCTCTGCATAATGGAAAATATGGTTTATTTATCCGATATTTAAATACTCTATTTAGCATCCTCAAGTCAAGAATTGAATAATAACAAATCCATACAAATTTTAAAAATAGGCTATAAGGTCTTAGCAGATGTTGCCTTAAGTTTTGGTTTTAGAATGTAGGTATGTGCCTCGTACAGAAAAAGAATTCCTCTAATATTCATGCTCCCTCCTTAATCAAAACTAGAATTTCCGATCTCATTGATCCGCCAATTATTTTTTTTCTTTCATGAAAAATAATACATCCATTACAGGAAAAAACTGTTCAATCACCTCCTACCAATTAATATAGGGAAGATAAAGAAGAGTTTAATTTTCAAAAAGCAGCTCTTAAGGAGTAACTTCTGGCAGAACAAGAAATACTTTTCATCTCATCTGCCTAGTAGGTAGTTTATATAATTTATAGGATTTTATCTAATTTGTGATTCTTATATTCTTGGTTATGTTTGTGATTAATTTTTTTTTTTGTAATTTCAATAGAACCATAGAAATTTAAATTCATCCAAGTTTTTAAATATTTTTGTTATGCCCGTATCACCTGGGTATTTTTCCATGTATTTATTCCAATTTTATTCATGTAGTTCAGGGTGACAACCGAAAAACTTCAAACGCAACATAAATCAACATTATGAAAAACAAAATAGGGTGGTATGAATAAAAACTGAGTTAAAACTCGGAGTATATACTCGTGAGCATGAGTATGAAGTCTGAGCTTATACTCCATTTCGTAAGAATAAAAAAGATTTCGGTTTGATAAGTACATACTCCTAGTACATAGAGTAGATACTCAACATTTTATTTTGCTTGCCACCGCTCTTTCGCCTCTATATCCTATTCACAATCCGATGTCCACAGGTACAGGTAAATTTATCACCTTTCCCTATCAAATAGCATTGAAAGGTGATAAATTTTACCTGTACCTGTGGACATTGGATTGTGAATGGATAATATTATATTCGCAGGACTGTGGGGAAATTTGTTCCACCGTTCACTTTGCTGAATTATCTTATCAGCTACTTCCGATACAACTTTAGACACCGAAGTTTGGTGAACACCAACATCCTCGCCTACTCCTGCCTAAAAGCCCGGGTCACCCACGTATCTTAATAGTATATTATATAATAAGTGTGGTAACTAGGTTATTACCGCACGCGAGAGAAATTTGCAAACCGAGCCGGTGAGGCGAGGTATGCAATCTCTAAGGGCGGTAATAACCTAATTACCATACTTATTATATACAGTATTTTATCTACAAGCGTGCGGTAACAAAATATCCGAAAGAACTTTAAAAAATTACTTTAAAAAAAAATTGCGTCTATCACCTTTGACAGTGGACATGTAGAATTCAGGTGATAGGTAGGTAATTTATCTCTGGTAGGTGATTGAAGGTACGTACCTATGTAGGTAGAGCGTGCGGTAATAATATTACCGCACGCAAAATCATGTAATATACCTTAGTTACCGCACGCTTGTAGATAAAAATATTTTAAATTTGTCTTTGTTGCATAAAGCACCACCTCTTCTTTCTCCAGACTCTTCACCCAAAAATTGATTTGATAACCACTCCACAATTTCTTTACTAAACCGGTACAACGTTTTAAAGTCCCGATCACACATATTTTTTCTAGCTTTGTAAATTTTTTTCCGAACGCAGGTTAAGATTGAAGAACTCTGCCATAGCTCTGCGTTCTACCGAGGGAAAATCGGTACTGAAATAACTTGAAGCAGAAAGTTGAGTCTACTGCATAGCAGACTCTAAAACTATGGAGTAGATTGTCCTGCCGAAGAGCACAAACAATTTTTTATTCATACCAAAAGTGAGAATCTACTCATACCATACTATACATAGGAGTACCTACTCAAGCGAAATATCTGCTCGTGGTTTTTATTCATACCACGTGGAGTATTTACTCCAAAATTTGGAGTAGAAACTAAATGCTCATTTTTATTCATACCACCCAATGTTGGCACTCTGAACTACATGAATAAATACACGGAAAAATACACAGATGTAATACAGGCATAAGATATACATATAAGTTTTGATTTATTTTTTATGAGTTTTTGTTGTCAGTATTATCTTTTGACTTTTTTTCTACAGTCTATTTTTTCCCAAGATAGATTTTCACAATGACAACTTTGAAACATAAACAATGCCGCTTATTGGTCGCAAGATGCTGTGTACCTGCATTCGACGAAAGTATCGTTTTCCAACCATGTAAAAGGATACCTCACCTGCAAGGACACGGCATTTTGCGACCAATCAGAGCCACGCGGTATTGTTTATGTTTCAAAATTGACTATGTCAAAATCTATTTTGGGAAAAAATAGAGTGTAGTTTGTTTAGAAATATTTGCCTATGTTGCGTACAGGGTGTTTCAAATTCGAGCCACATCATTGGGATCTCGGCAACGGTGAGAGATACAGGAATGGTTAAATTGGGGCAAAGTTGCGAAGTTTGATGTTTAACATAATGCCGCTTTGATATTTAGGATATTCCGAATACTTCCGGAGATATCCGGAAAAACCGGAATTTTCCAAAATTGTTTTTATTTTTTCCTGACTTTATTTGAAGCGATATTTCAAAAAAAATATCACTTCATCATAGCCACTTTTTCTGCCCTGATGATGGTGGCCCAAAGACGAAACGTCAGATTTTAAGCTAGAAGCTAGCATCTTGTAGGGGAGAAAAAATGGCTATGATGAAGTGACATTTTTTAAAAAATACTTATAACTTTAAATAAAGTCAAGAGAAAATAAAAACAATTTTCCAAAATTTCAGTTTTTGCCGGATATCTCCGGACGTATTTGGAATATCCTAAATATCAAAGCGGCATTTTGTTACACATCAAATTTCGCAACTTTGCCCCAATCTAACCAACCCTGTATCTCTCACCGTTTCCAAGATCCCAATGAAGTGGCTTGAATTTGAAAAACCCTGTACAGGGTGGCCCATTTTCGATGTTTTGATAGGCTATATTGAAAATCAGCAGAGATATTAAAAATATGGAAGCACATTCTCGAGCTCTTTTTTTGAGAAAATAACAATGGCGAAAACAAATCACGGCTAACTTGATGCGTTTAGGAAATACAGGGCACTTTTCAAATTTTGCACAATTTTAAAAGACTCTCTAATTTCCTTATTATTCAAGATATTCAAAAACGACAAATACTTTCTGAAGGCAGTTTTTCAAGGAGAATCCAGTGGCATGACCAATTTTTCTCCAGATGCCTCCGATTTTGGAATATTGACCAAAGTTGTGTTTTTTTTAAATGGGACACCCCATATATTATTTTTTTTATTGAATAGCTCTTTTTGCGCTGATTTCAATGATATAAGGCTTTATACCTTTAACTTCTATAGCTTTGGAGAAAAAAAAATTAATTCCGTTTTTCCATAAGAAACAATGAGCTAGAGAGAGCCGATTCATAGTTCAACTATCTCTTTCTAACTCATTGTTTCTTATGGAAAAAAACGGAATTTATATTTTTTTCTCCAAAACTATTGAAGGTAAAGGTATAAAACCTTATATCATTGAAATCAGCTCACAAAGAGCTATTCAATGAAAACATAATATACGGGGTGTGTCATTTAAAAAAACACAACTTTGGTAGATATTCCAAAATCGGTGGCATCCGAAAAAAAATTGGTCATGCCACTGGATTCTACTTGAAAAACTGCCTTTAGAAAGTATTTTTCGTTTTTAGATAACTTGAATAATAAGGAAATTAGAGAGTCTTTTAAAATTGGACAAAATTTGAAAAGTGCCCTGTATTTCCTAAACGCATCAAGTTAGCCGTGATTTGTCTTCGCCATTGTTATTTTCCCAAAAAAGAGCTCGAGAATGTGCTCCCAGATTTTTGATATCTCTGCTGGTTTTTGATATAGCCCATTAAAACATCGAAAATGGGCCACCCTGTACAGGGTGGGCCAATTTGGACACTTTCTTATGGAAACACCCTTTCTTTTTAGAGATAGAGAAAAATAAACCCCCCACTCTGAGGCTCAAATTTCATTTCAGCTCAAAAACTATTCGAGATAAACCTATCGAACTTTATATCAGTAAAATCATAAAAATCATAGCTTTTGAATCAGCTAATAATATAAAGGGTGTCCTATTGAAAAAAATCAGACTTTGGTCAATATCTCAAAATCGGCGCCAAATAGAAAAAAACTGAGAACGTCACTGAATTCTGCTTGAATAAGTGCTTCCAGAAAGTTTTTACGGATATCAATTATTTTCATAAACAAAAAAGTTATGAAGGATTTAGAATATTGCTCAAAATCGAGAATCGCCCTCTAGCGGCTAAACGGTTGAAGATATCAAAATGCGGTTTGCACCAATCAAAATTTCATGAAATTTGAGCCTCAGAGTGGGGGGTTCATTTTTTTCTATCTCTAAAAATAAAGGGTGTTTCCATAAGAAAGTGTCTAAATTGGCCCACCCTGTACATTGCTTTTCCTGCCATTCACTGAGATTTGTTTTTTTTTGAAATTTTTATATTGACATGGTTCTACCTTTTTATTAGTATCAAGAATAGCTTTGTTCGCAACAGTAATTGTCGTTTTTTGGAAATTTGACAATATGAAGCATATACAGGGTGTCGGGTCTCACGAAAGGTTTGTTACAAACTTCCAGGGATGGTAGATCTCGTAAAAATAAAGCTTTTTTCTTAATAAACATGTGTGAAATGCTTCGTTTTCCTACGATATACAGGGTGTAAAAAAAATATCAATTTTTACATTTTAGAAAAAAAGATTTTTGTTTTTTTTTTTTTTTTTAAGCAACAAATAGCCTGGTAAAATTTCAGGTAATTCAAACCCCCCCCCTAAAAAATAATAAAATTCAAAAAATTTAACTTAAAAACAAACAACACTTATTAAATCCTTATTTATTTTTTTTATTTTTATTACTAGTGTAACAATTTTCTTTTGCCACTGTCTAACCCCCCCCAAAATTTTGGTCTAGATACGGCCCTGAGCCTCTCATATGTAATTATTTTTTTTGTTTAGTCCCCCGCGGCTTTGGGTTGCCTGCTGCCAAAAATCTTGGGTTCGTCGTTCGTTTCGTTTATTCCAAAAATCAAAGTCCAATTTACACAGTAATAATTTATTCCACTTAACAAAACACTCTGACACTAATTACTTTATTAACAAACTCAACAATTAAACTCTTTACAATCACTATTTAAATCGTATCACAGTCGAACTGAAACTTAACTTACAAATCAATGCCGGCCTTCTTATATATCCCTAATTCCATTCCTGTAAAATCTAGAATACACACGATAGTCTAATTTTCCAGATAAAAGTAGAATAATTCGCTAGATTCTAGTATTTTCACCATCGATTCTTGACAGCCTGGCGGACGATATTGTAACAGTATTTAAAATTACAGTAGATTATTTCATTCATTATAAAATAGACCCATCAGACAACGTCATTTTTTAAATGAATTTTGTTTAAATAAGTGATTATTTCACAAGACCTTGTTTATCAGCGATTAAATTTTTGTTTACCTTTTTTGACAGAATTTTGATAGAAATATTCTTACATTTTATAATAAATGGAACTCTTTGGATAGGATTGACCCCAACAATTAAATCCTAATTATTCAGGAAATAATCTAGCTGTATACCACTCGACCTATAATTTAAATAGATTAAACTATCCAAATATTTTTTGCATAATTTTGCTTTTTGGCAAATAGTTTCATGCACAATAACTTTCAAATAAAAGGCCCTCGACCGCTTCGCGGTCTCGGGCTTTTATTAAGTTATTGTGCATTCAACTATTTTCCAAGCAAAATCATGCTCAAAATATGTTGGATAGTTTAATCGATTAAATTTAAAGGTCTTGTGATATAATATATGAATAATAACTGGAAACCATAGTAGGTACCTATATGGGAAACCAAAAAAGTTATTTTTAGACTTAAGGGAATAGTTCATCATTCACCTTATGAAATAGGAGATAGTGATTTTAAACAAATTTTAAGATCGCAAGAGTGGTAAAGTGTGGATTTTTGTAACGCTTCAAAAACTCTGTTGTTTTCAGAGCCTTGTAAAATAAATGTTTTTTTCCTTTCTGAAACATGGGCAAAAATCAGGCTTTATTTATAGCCAGATCCTAAAGAATCAAACTTTGTTGTTGTTGTTATTATTATTACTAGTCTGTTCTTACCTCCACAAACAGCATAATTCCATTCTAACTTGTCCAAATCCAAATAGTATACTTGCTTGGCAAATAGATCAGTCTCTTCCTCGTACCCACCAAAAATGAACATGAAATTTTTATAAACACAGGCTGTGTGTCCGTCCCGGGCTAAAGGAACAGGTCCTGTTGTTGCTGGTGCCATCCAACAGTGCCAGAAAGTGTCGAACTTGAAAAGTACTGAACAGGAGGCTCTGTCGTTTCTACCACCCCAAATATAGATTTGATCTTTGTACACTATTGCAGTATGTCCGTATCTAGAAATAATGATTGAATAGTTGAAATAAAAGACTTGCAGTTATTGAATATGACATACATAAATTACTATTACTAAAAATATCATCATCATTCAATTCTTGTCACTTGAGTCTCCTTTCAATGTTCACTGTAATTCAGTATTCTAGCAAAAATATTTCCTTAAAAAAACAAAATTCCAAGTAGAAAAATACAGTTTGTTTTAAATAAATATACACAATTTTGGTTATATGCTCTTTGGCACACCCTATTTATGGAACCGAATGGTGAGTACAAATCTTGAAAATATTATCGTTTGAGTTAAAAAATTACAAAGGTAGGTATGCAATAACTGTAGATTCAACAGAAAAAGAAAAATCGACGAGAATACCATATCAACCAAAAAGAATAATATCAATCCAATTGCTGAAGGCTGTATTTAGTTTCCTATCAGCTTTTATTATTTGCTAATTATTACATTTGGCAATCATAAATTGCGGTAATTACTTCCAGATAAAGCACTAATTAATTTTCTCACAAAACATTTCAACATCTTAATGAACATTATTAACTTGCAGCTTCAAACAAATGCAATAGAGATCTAACAATAACATAATGCGAGAGCGTACTCAAACATTGCAACTTAAAAATTAAAGTCTCATTTAATATCACATTGATCAATTGCTCGTTTACACAGGGTGTTCATTTTAAAACTTACCACCCCTATTATCTTGGAGTTGAAAATAATCGCATGATTTAAATCGCGATTTTGTAATTTGGTGATTTATAAAAAATATCGGTAAAGATTAAATCAAAATGCAACTAATTGACTTTATCTACGCTACTGAAAAATGGGATATTTTTAATTTATCTGCGCAACTGAAACTGACGTCACACCGCCGGACCTTCCGTGAGCAGCGAACATGTGGTAATCAGCTGTTAACAGCCAGTGGCATTCTTAGCACAGGCCGCATCATACCTTTATCTTTGTCTTTCTTTTGTCCCTAAAAGGGATGGAGATACACCCTGCTGCTGCACCAGTTTAATTATACGGAAATGCTATTTGATTTGATCTTTCTGGGAATCCCTCTAATCTTCGTCTGTCGTTTTATCTATTTATTAATAAAAAGTGGACGTTTTTGGTGGGGTTTGATGGAAAGTGAATGACGCGCGTAAAAAAAAAACTTTATTTCATGAGGGTTTGTACTTACGTCATTTGCCTTCTTTTTAAACAAATAATAAATGACCGAAATAAATTAATGGCGTCGTAAACATTCGTACGTTAAACTAGCACCTTATCGATCTATGACAAACTAAACCCCTTTTTCGAAGTTATGACGTCATCCATGACGGACAAACCTTCATGCAAGGAACTATATGTTTATTTGAAATAACAGACATAAAAAAACTTATTTGTTTAAAAAAGAAGGCAAATGATGACGTAAGTACAAACCCTCGGGAAACAAAGTATTTTTCACGTGCGTCATTTACTTTTCATCAAACCCCACCAAAAAAAAATAGTGCTATAGCACCCCTCAAATTTGGAGCCTAGTTGCGCCTATGATGTCAATGAATTTTGTGTTTAGGGTGTTGTTGTATGATAAATAAAATCTTAAATAGATCTAAATAAAGCGTTTTTTATTTAAATCGAAAAATCTGATTTAAATCAAAAAAATCTGATTTAAATCAAAAAAATCGGATTTTTTTGATTTATTGGAAAAAAATCAAAAAAATCTGCAACCCTGATCAGGAATCAGATGAAACAAAAAATTACCAACAAAACCGAACGTCGATTGCTAATACGTCAATTTCATGTACAAATAGGAAATTCCTAACCTAATTTTATTTGTGTGTCAAGAAGCGACATACGTTTTGTCACTAGAACGACTGGTACTTCTAAATAGGTATTAAACATACTATAGAGTTTATAAAATAACACAACAAACAAGAAACTTGCTTATTGGACCAAATAATTTATTTAAATGACTACATAACAGTTATTATCTTGCACTATTAACCCAAAAAAGAAAGATCATTGAAAAAAATAGGAAGATTGATGTTATGAGGGATTGGTGTTAAAATTGCTAACAGAACAGAAGCATAGAGTCGTGTAATTTAACGGCTTGCACGATTTTTATGAATTTTGGTTGGAAAGAGTATTGTAATATGGTAGTATTTACATGGTTGTCAGATCTTTCGTTTTCCGGTAAATATCAGAAACTTTGGTTTTTCAAAGGGATGACCCTATAGTACAGGGTGTCCCAAATTCGAGGGTGACTATTGAGATATCGAAAACTATAAGAAATACAAGGTTGGTCAAATTATGGCAAAATTGCGCAAATTTATGACCAATAAAATGCCGTTTTGAAATTTGAAAAATTCCAAATACTTCCGAAGATATTCGAAAAAAAAAAAAAACTTTTGAGTAATTTCCTGCCTACCAAAATTCTCTTCTCTGTCTCTCTCTAACACATTTAGTTCTTATGGAAAGGGTCCTTATTTAAAAAAATTAAGTTGATGATGGCCGCCCAAAGACAAAACGTCGAATGATGATGTGATATTTATTTTAAAATTGCTCTTCAAATACACCCGGGAGAAAATAAAAGTAATTTTGCCAAATTTCGGTTTTTTCCGAATATCTTCGGAAGTATTAGGATTTTTTCAAATTTCAAAACCGTATTTCATCGGTCATAGAATTGCCTAACTTTACCATCATTTAAGAAACCTCGTATCTCTAATAGTTTCCGATATCCCAATGGTCACCCTCGAATTTGGGACACACGTATATTATGACATTTATGGATTCTGCGGAAAATTCTAGACATATTTCATGTACTAGGTGTTTGTTTATAACTGGAACACTCAGTTACTTTCTCATATTATTGAAAATAAAGGGCATGTTTAAACTGGAAAATTTCTTGGTAAATTGCAACCTTAAGCGCTACAATGATATTTTTTGTCGTCATAGGTTTACAGGGTGCGCCAAAAAGGTATTTTTTTTTAAATGGAATGCCCTGTATATTTTTGTTATCCAAATAATATTTGATATGTTTGTGAAGCTAACTTTCTAAGAATTTCAAAAATGTAAAAATATACAGGGCGTTCCATTTAAAAAAATGACTTTTTTGACGCACCCTGTATACCTATGGAGACAAAAAAATCTTGTTTTAGCGATTAAGATCGATTGCAATTTACCAAGAAATTTTCCAATTTGAACATGCCCTTTATTCTCAATAATAAAAAAGTTATTGAGTGTTCCAGTTATAAACAAACACCATGTACAATGACATATACCTATCTTCGACTGTTTCGGAAATATTGACAGTTGAAAATAGACTTTTTTGCAACTTTGACAGGCTGTGAAACCTAAACAGCTAATTTTATACCGAAACCGGTTTTACATCCTCGTCTGTAGCTTTTCATAAGCTATGATTTGACACCAACTATGAATTTAACCGGAGAATAAAGAACGAGGCACAATTAACATTGCTCCCGTAAATTGCAACCAAATTTGAATATTTTAAAGGTATGTATTATAATTGCAAAAAAAAATTTTGAAATGTAAAGAGGATCGTATGTCTGTGATAGCAGATATACACTCCTGGACATAAAAAACCGGACAAACAAAATTTTGTTAAATTTCAATCCTAAATATTTTTTTCAATTTTGCATCGAAATTGATCATTTTTTGTCAAAAGGTAGGCGCGTTTATCTTGATCAATATTTAATATTGTGTTTGTGAAAAGTTCGAATGGATTTGATGTTATACAGGGTGGAACCATAAGTTGCATTTGGTCCCAAACTTCTGAACACTCTGTGGAATAATTCAACGACACAATCATGCGTATTTGCAGGACATTCTTAAGCGTTATCATTTCTTACCATGTCTTTTTTTAATTCATATCGATATCTTCAATCTCAAAGGAAGCACAAGTTTTTTAGAGAAGCAATGCAATTTATACCAATAACAAAAATTAAAAACATCACAGATAACTTTCACAAATAAACAAACACTAATATTGGGTATTACCTCCACGTGCTTTAGTAACTGCTGCCATGCGACGTGTTAAGCTCTCAATACAATTGGCAATAGCCCTTTGCGGAATGTTCTCCCACTCCTCTAGAAGAGCTCTTCGAAGATCTGGAATGGTTTCCGGTTGTCATTTGCGAATTAGCCTCCCTAACATGTCCCACACATGCTCAATCAGGTTCAGATCAGGGCTACCTGGAGGCCAGTCCAATCGTTGAATCCCTGCTTCATCGAGATAATCACTGACAACTCTTGTGACATTAGGCCTGGCATTGTCGTGCATCAAAGAAAAATGTTCACCAAGAAATGGAGCAAAAGGAATAACGTGGACCGCTAAACATTCCTCAATATAACGGTTAGCAGTTAAGGCGATATTTTCGATAAAAACCAGGGCAGTACGGGCGTAAGGTGCATCCAGCTCACACCATGAAACTACCGCCTCCAAAAGGTGTTCTTGGAGAAATGCAATAGTCGGAAAGTCGTTCTCCCCGTCTTCGCCCTACACGCTCTCGTCCATTGGGTGAACGCAAACAGAAGCGCGATTCTTCAGTGAATAACACACATCCCCACTCTTCGTCATTTCAGTCTCTATACGGGCAAATTTTAACCGTTGAGTCCGATGATGGGCTACTTTTAAAGCTGGACAAGCAGCCAGTCTTCTTGACAGCAATCCTTGTTCATGTAATCTACAGCGAACGGTTCGCCCAGAAACTCTTGTGCCACGTACATTTTCAAGTTGATGACTTATAACAGCAGATGTTACTCCTCGGTCCCATAAAGCAGTTAGAGTAATAAAATGATCATCTCGCTGGTTTGTGACGCAGGGTCTCCTAGATCCTGGAAGTCGTGTGTACTTACCAGGCATTCAATGCAACAGTACCTGCAACATCTTCAGACCGCATATTGAAAAAAAATTCAACCTCTGAATAAGGATACATTGACTCTTAGGATAAAAAAGCAAACGAAAATAAACACTTCTAAAGTGTATTTTTCCCCAAGATGGATTTTACCATTGATAACTTTGAAACATAAATAATGCCGCTTATTGGTCGCAGGATGCCATTTGCACGACAAAACATGAAAAATTGATTCCAACCTGCAGGGACACGGCATTTTGTGACGAATCAGGGACAAGCGGTATTGTTTACCTTCCAAAGTTTTCAATGTTGAAATCCATCTTGGGAAAAAATACACTATAAAAGTGTTTATTTTCATTTGTTTCTTTGTCATAAGTGTCAGTGTATCCTTATTCAGAGGTTGAATTTTTTTTCAATATGCGGTCCGAAGATGTTGCACGAGCTGTTGCATTGAATGATGATGGCCGTGATATACGCTCATAGCTAATGTCTTGGGCAGAGCCAGAAGCACTGTACAAGATGCAATTAGCCGCTTTCGTCAGACTGGTGAGTACACACGACGTCCAGGGTCTGGGTGACCCCGCGTCACAAACCAGCGAGATGATCATTTTATTACTCTAACTGCTTTACGAGACCGAGGAGTAACATCTGCTGTTATTAGTCATCAACTTGAAAATGTACGTGGCACAAGAGTGCCTGGATGAACCGTCCGCCGTAGATTACATGAACAAGGATGAATGTCAAGATGACCGGCTGCTTGTCCAGCTTTACAAGTAGCCCATCATACTCAACGGTTAAATTTTGCCCGTGTCCATAGAAAGACTGGAATGACGAAGAGTGGGGATGTATGTTATTCACTGATGAATCGCGCTTCTGTTTGCGTTCACCCGATGGACGAGAGCGTGTATGGCGAAGACGGGGAGAACGACTTTCCGACTGTTGCATTTCTCCAAGAACACCTTTTGGAGGCGCTAGTTTTATGGTGTGAGCTGGCCGTCCATGCCCGTACTGCCCTGGTTTTTATCGAAAATGGCGCCTTAACTGCTAACCGTTTTATTGAGGAATGTTTAGCGGTCCACGTTATTCCTTTTGCTCCATTTGTTGGTGAAAATTTTTCTTTGATGCACGACAATGCCAGGCCTAATGTCGCAAGAGTTGTCAGTGATTATCTCGATGAAGCAGGGATTCAACGATTGGACTGGCCTCCAGGTAGCCCTGATCTGAACCTGATTGAGCATGTGTGGGACATGTTAGGGAGGCTAATTCGCAAATGACAACCGGAAACCATTCCAGATCTTCGAAGAGCTCTTCTAGAGGAGTGGGAGAAGATTCCGCAAAGGGCTATTGCCAATTGTATTGAGAGCTTAACACGTCGCATGGCAGCAGTTACTAAAGCACGTGGAGGTAATACCCAATATTAGTGTTTGTTTATTTGTGAAAGTTATCTGTGATGTTTTTAATTTTTGTTATTGGTATAAATTGCATTGCTTCTCTAAAAAACTTGTGCTTCCTTTGAGATTGAAGATATCGATATGAATTAAAAAAAGACATGGTAAGAAATGATAACGCTTAAGAATGTCCTGCAAATACGCATGATTGTGTCGTTGAATTATTCCACAGAGTGTTCAGAAGTTTGGGACCAAATGCAACTTATGGTTCCACCCTGTATAACATCAAATCTTTTCGAACTTTTCACAAACACAATATTAAAGAATGATCAAGATAAACGCGCCTACCTTTTGACAAAAAATGATCAATTTCGATGCAAAATTGAAAAAAATATTTAGGATTGAAATTTAACAAAATTTTGTTTGTCCGGTTTTTTATGTCCAGGAATGTATCTTGTCAAAGTACGTAGGTCCTGCCTTTGCTATGCACAGGAAATATGCGAGGAAATATCCCTACGTGGATTTTCTTGAATATCTCGAAAAATACTAATCCGATTTTGACCTTTTTGGAGTTTGATACCTACAAAGGGACCCCAAAACCACTTTCTATGCTGCTAGGTAAATCCAGCGGGTTAACACCTGTCAAGGTGGTAGAAATTTAATTTTTCTTTAAACGTCAAAAGAACGTAACTTTGTCAACCCCTGTCAAGATGTCAGAAATGTGATTTCTATGCTGCCAGGCAAATCCAGCGGGTTAACACCTGTCGAGGTGGTAGAAGTTTAATTGCTATGCTGCTTGGCAACCCCAGCGGCAGCAAAAGTACTTTTAGTGCCGCTCAACCATCCACTTGCCCCCGGCCTTACCCCATTAGTTTGGAGAAAAAATAGCGTGTTGCATATGGAGTAGAAGCACAAAAAAGTAAAGCTTCTACTCCTAATACAACGATATACTATTCTATGCTGCTAGGCAACCGCAGCGGCAGTAGAAGTACTTTTAGTGCCGCTGGAGCGGCAGCAAAAGTACTTTTAGTGCCGCTCGTACCTTTACTGCCGCTCAACCATTCAGTTACCCCTGAGCTTTCCCCATTCGTTTGGAGAAAAAATAGCGTGTTGCATACAGAGTAGAAGCACTTTTTTGTGCTGAAGCAGTAGGTTTGCGAGCCGAACGTAGTAGGCTTGCAATATTGCTGAAGCTTCTACGCCTTCTACAACAATATACTATTTTTTCCTAGACCAATCACCAAATGATTGTGGAACCCTTAGGTGGAACTGTAGCAAAATTGAAGCAATGATTGAATGATTGTAAAAATCATATCAACTTTGTACCTCATGTCACGTGAGTACTGATTTGAGATGTAATTTAATATCATTTCAATCAGGTTCAAAACTCAGACTTACCTTCTATAGGGTAAGATATCATCATTTTCGAAATATGGGAGTTCACTAACAGGGTGCTTCACCCATCTATTTGTGTGAGTATTTAAAACGTGGACATCCATAGAAGTGTATCCGCTGCAGTCCTCGCCAGTTGAATATCCTGCAACAAAAAAAATTATTGAATGACAAATTAAGTTGATTTTATCATGTTAATTTAATAATGTTGCTCAATTATGTATACTTAGTATAAACTATAAATAAAAGTGACATGTAAAATTTATGTGCTAATGCTTTGGTAATTGGGTAAGTTATAAAATGACTGGGCACATCAGAGCAAGTTTTTTCACTAACCATCTTTATGAAAACAGTCAGCTCAATTGTAGGTATGTCCTTTGATAAGTCCATTATTTTGAATTTAGACTAATTCTAGTGGAAATCAGTTGAGAAGGTACAAAAAAGATCGTCTCATGAGAGGTTTCATGGAAATACTAGCAAACAACCACAATTTTCTTTGTGAGAATGCTTGGTTTTCTGGAAACCTCCATATTATGTGTTTACACCATAATTTGATAAAACTGCAACAGGAAATTTTTCTCGATAAGATTTTTTTTATGTACAGGGTGTTTTTCTATATATTGACACCCAACCTACAGCCTTAACCTTTACAGTGAAAGGTGTAAATACAGAAGTTGTACAGTTTTGGCCAAATTTTTAGAATCCATGGTCAGAAACAAAAATTGAATGTCAAAAATGTGAAATGTTGCATGCTTTCAGCTCTTTTCAAATGGGATGCCCTATATTTGGTTCCATATTTTTGAAGAGTACAATTTCCCGATTCCAGAAATATATAGTTTGTTTAAAACCGAAATTTTGTAAAATCCGAAGTAAAATCGTTTTTATTTTTTTCCTAGACTTATTTGAAAAGCAGTTTTAAAATAAATGTCACTTTATCATTGACAGTTTTTCCCCTTTAGACGATGGTGCTACTAAATTTAAAATTCGACGTTTCGTCTTCAGGCGGCCATCATCAACTTACGTTTTTTAAATACGGACCTGGATTTTTTATTTGCGATTTTGTCATCATTGGGCATCCTAAAACCGAAACTGTTTATAATTTTTCAATAGCACAGTGCAGGGTTGGCAGGATATATATCAGCGATAAATATCCTGATATATATCTTGATAAAAATCATGATATTTAAGCTATAAATATCATGATATATATCAATAAAATTTGTATGGTCTTTTTTGCCTATTTTATAGTTTTATTATTTTATTTATGAGAAGGAAATTACAGGAATTTTATTTATTTTTATTTGTGTGAAATATTAGGTTTTTAGGGCGGGTATTATGAAACTATTTTGACAGATAACTAAAAGTTAACTTCTGGAATTACTACGAGCAGTAATGTCATTCCAGAAGTTAACTTCTAGTTATTCTGTCAAAATAGTCTTATAATACTTGCCCTAAGTTGTAGATTTCTTTTTGTTATTGAGTTCAGAGTTGTCATTTTTTTGTTGTTGTTAAACCACAGTTTAAGGCAAACATAAGTAGTATAAATAACATGAATGTTTCCATATTCCTATATAAAGTCGAATTTTTATTTACCAACTACACTTTACATTCCTATACATATGTATAGGAGATAGGACAGGCAGGGGCGTAGCCAATAGGGGGGGAGACGGGGGAGCCTCCCCCCAGGGCGCAACTGACACAGGGGCGACAAAATAGGCAAAGTGAAAAAAAAAAAAATGAAAAAAAAAAAAAAATTTAAAAAAAATTGTCAAAAGACAAGTTTCTGAGTAAAGTGTGTTTTTTTTTTAAAGATAATTCCCCAAGTCAAAAATTTAGTAACTATGTTGGCAACACAAGCCTTTTCTACATAAAAAATTTGAAAGCATTGACAATTTTATATTGTATTGCCAATAGTGATGTAAAATGCTCGAGCAAGTATTTTCGAAGAACGTTCTCCGAGCAGGATCGAGAATTAACGAGCATAAACGAGAAAAAACGAGCAGGACCCGAGAATTTATCCTTTTCATCAGAAGCTGAATAAAACAAAACATTTTTGTAAATAAATTCTGATTTTTCTCAAATTTCCCGAAATTCCCAAATTTCTGGTGAAAGTTCTGATTATTCTGAAAATTCTTCATAAATGTGCTGAAAATTCTCAAACTTCTTAGGAAAATATAATACATATTTAGGACCGATACTTTTGCTCTCAATTAACGAATTTGATACGTTGTCAAAGTTTTGCATGGGCCAAGGTCTATAAGTATGATGTGGTTAGAGCACATTCTAACCCCTGATTATTTTTAACTGTCAAATGAGAGCAAAAGTACCAGCATTTAATCTCATAATTTGTGTCATGTTTGACAACAATAATAATTCTAATTTGGGGTTTTCTGTGAAACTTCAACATACAATTATCATTAGGAGACTTTTTTTTGATAATTAAATAAAATAGTGATTTTAGTTTCAGTATATTCCAGTACAACGCTACCTTTGCTTACAAAAAAATAGCTATTGCTGCTAAGTTGCTTTCTGGTTCTCGTGCTCAATATTCGATATATCTCCGCCTTCAACAGCTCGTGCTTGAGAACGTGCTGAATATTCTCTATCGTGCTCAATGTGCTCGGAAGGTAATATTCAGCACGAACCTTTTTTTCGTACGCGAACGTCCGCGAATGTTCTCGAAAGCACAATCAGAACGTTCCCTTGTTCACATCACTAATTGCCAACATAATGTCATTTTGACTTTTATCTTTAAAAAAAAAACACACTTTAGGTAATTAATGGCCGTTTCCACCAACTATTTTAGGGGAGACCTAACGATAAGTATTCCCTAAAATGACATTTTTACATAGAGAAATGTTAGTTTAAGGCATACCTATCGTTAGGGCTTCCCTAAAATAGTTGGTGGAAATGGCCATAAATACTATTTTACAACTATTATAATGTGAACACGCCCCGCCGGTTATTGTGGACACGCTTTAGTCAAGGGTTCCATATTTCTATTGTGAACACGCCCTAGTTGAAAGTTCCATCAAAACGGGGCAACGGAAACTCGGTGAATCACCGGTTAATTCGGCAATGGGAATAGACCGATCTTCTATTATAGTCTATCGATAGTTAAATGAGACAGTAAAAAAAATAATATTCCTTTGGCCGTCGGCGTTTTCTTTATGAAGCACGGACGGAGTAAGAGAAATTTATTAAAACAATTTTACATAAAATAAAACATGAGGCACGATACAACTCAAATAGGAATCAAATTTATAAAAACTATCTACTGCACTATCTTTCCAGACGAAACTGATTCGCAAAGGGCGGCCGCTAAAATTTCTAACCAATAAGATATTCCTGGAGTCAACGTTGACTGTATAAAACAACCAATAAGATGCATTGTTCGCAGGTGGATTCGCATCCAATGTATACGGGCACGCTCAATATATTTTTCCTAATAATAGTATAATAATTTTAACGAGCAATACGATAATTTGAGGAGACCCCAATTTTTGCTTTATCTCATTTGAGAAACGATAGTCTGGACTGCACGTGTCGCTTGTAGGCTGCAGGTGAGCGTCCAATGAGAAGCAAGTTTGTGACAGGCTTGCGTCATATTCTTATTCAGGGGCCAGTTCAGAATGAACCGTTCCTTCTTTCTTTGTAACGTGTAATTGAACGATCAAACGAACTTACCTGTGATGTTCGATCGTAATTATATATAGCACCTCATCCGAAGAGATCACTGCGTTATCTTACTATGTAGTACTGCTTTTTGTACTAGAGGGAGTCACAAATTTCAAAGAACTCAAAATGTCAATCATTGCCCTTACCGACTACAGGACCCTGTTTAACCGGTAGAGTCATCTAAGTTTAAAGTTTCCCGCTATATTTTGGAAATGGGGTCTAGTCTTGGGAGGGTTGGGAGTGATCTCTTCGGACGAGGTGCTATATATAATTACGATCGAACATCACAGGTAAGTTCGTTTGATCGTTCAATTATATTACGCACCTCGTCCTCAAGATCACTGCGTTATCTTACTATGTAGCTGTTCAAAGAACAAAATATAGCGGTAGAACAAAATCCGCTCTCCGCTTGTTAGTGTACCAATGATAAATGACGAATGACGTAATAGAGTGAAATACCATGTTGATTGGTCTCGAAAAAATCGTAATCGATCGAACTAACTGTCACTGTTGCTACTGTCAGCTCAGCTTCTTCTCATTCTATTATCAGCTGAGCAGTCCCTACTGTTTATTTGATTATTTCTAATTAAATAAATAAATAAATAAATATAGAAAGTTTTAAAGTAGTGTTTATTTTCATTTTATGTTATGAAAAGTGAAATGAAGGTACCTCTATTTTTATTGTTAACATTTTTCAGGTACTGCTATACACGGCAGACATAAAATCTGATTCCTTATTATCCAGGGGTCTATTATAGAATCTAGCAAATACTTTTGATCTGTTGCTCCACCCTGCATTTTTACTTATAATGTCCCAAGAAACACCAGCACGGTTTGCTGCTGATGTAGAAGTGTGTCTTGTAGAATGGGCTGTGAATATTTTCGTGTTGATACCAGCCCTGTGAAGCAAGTGTTTGAGCCAATGTGCTATGGTGGATGTAGATACATGTTTGTGAGGAGCCTTAGAAGATATAAAAAGAAAATTTTCGGAGTCTGGTCTTATTGCAGCTGTTTTTTCGATATACGATAAGAGTGTTGATGCCACGCATAGCTTTTCTTCATGAAAATATTGCAATTCGAAGTAAGGTTGATATGCATTCAGCCTTGAGGTCTTAATATTATTTGGAACATATGTTTTTACTCCACTTTCCTGGAAAATAATATTTTTGACTTTTATTAGATGCAACGTTTGAAGACGTTGTCCAGTAGCTAATGCTAGAAGAATTGCTAACTTTTTCGTTAGCTCCAGGAGGTTTAGAGCATCATTAGATGGTAGGTTCTTTATGTATTTTAACACTATTGAAGGATCCCATGTTATACTGTATTTTGGTTTGGGTGGTCTTAGCTTAAATATGCCCTTAAGAAATCGTCTCACTAGAGTATTTTTTCCGATGTCGTGAGGAAGTATCAGAGAAAGTGCCGATCGATGTTGATTAAACGTAGCATAGGAGTTTTTCTCTTTATCAA